TTTATATACTCGTGTACGTCAGAGGTCCAGCTTATTTCAGAGTTTGTAACTCCCACACAATTGGTGTGGGACTTGAACCTTAATCTCTTGATCCAAATTTTCCTATCACTCAACGAACTGAGCTATGCTGCATGTCAGAAAGTATAATAATACTTTTTCCACCTAAAATACTTTTTCAATAATTTCAGCGCGGACCGTTACGTAACTTGATTATTATCCACCGTTACATGTCAGAAATATAATAATGGATGGGAATGTTAGTTTAAATTGGTCGTTATTTAGAATTTTTAATACGGAGTAAGAAACTTTTAGGTGGATGGGTAGAGAAACGACTCAACGAGGGGATAAAAGGTCAAAAGTGGGCAAGTTGAGTATTTTAATAAGTGTGCTTTTTTAAATAGAAAATCAATTAATACTTCGAAATTTATAACGACGTACGGAAACTCAAAACATGATTATGTACTTGGGGAAGATTAAATACAAGAGGATGAAAAGTATACCGCACCCCTAAATGCCCTAATATACCATTTTAGGTCAATTGCAAAGTATATTGTTATATTTTAAGTCAATTGCAAAATAAGAAATTAATCAGATTGGGAGTAAGTTCAAGGCTAGGACTAATACATTTTATTTTCAAAATAATATTTATTTACAGCCTATTTAGTAAACTGAAATTAGCTAATTTTGTTGAAACTCATGAAGTTCTGGCTAAAGAGACTTGACTAGCTATTTTAGCAGAACTATGAAAAAATCATATTTAAGATATATTTTATTAATAAATTGAAGAAAAATGTTGAGTTCAATCCAACATGATTTAGTAAATATAGATATAATTTCATATGAACACTCGATCTTTACGTGGAAATCCGAAATGGAGAAAACGATGAGACTTTTTAAGCTAATGTCCAAGCCATCTCATTCTCATTAATACTCTCCTCACCATCACGATGTACAAGTTCAAGCCATGGAAGTCATTAATGGAGCTCCCAAACTTTCCTAGAGAGATAAGTAAAATCGGGGAAGAAGAGACCAACCCTTAACATGGAAGGAAGGCCTTCTATTTATAGGAAATGGGGGTGGAGGAAAAGCCTACCCTAGTGGGCCAAGTGGGCCAAAATGGACCCAAAGGGCCGAATAAGGCCTGATAGACTGAAAGGGGCCTCGTCAGTCAGGCTCCGTACTGGGGTGATGCCTTGGGCTTCTGAACAGTAACAGACTGGGATAATATACTTCAACAAAATAAATATGAAAAATAGCTAAAATGGCCTTATATAGCAACTTCAGTCAATCCAGCTAACTCAAATTTACTCTTTTTTCTTATTACAACTCAACACACGAAATTAAAAGTTACAACTTTGATAAAAAGTTAGCTAATAAGGGTGATACGTCAAAAAACAAGATCACCAAGCGGGATCTTAGTTCTATTAAAAAAACAAAAAATAAAAACTGAAAATCACATAGTGTAACATATCAGAGTAGAATTTAGTCGTTTAGAGCATCTCCAATGCTACAATGTGCACGGTGCACATTTGACATGAGAGAGATAGACACAAATGATTAAATTTTCGACGTTTCTCTCTCCTTCTTTCCACTATCTTATATGTTTTTGGTAAGTTTTTCTCCACAATGTCAAGCACAATGTCTAAATATAGACAATGTGGTTGACATTGTTAAGAAAAACTTATCAAAAACATATAAGACCGTGGAAAGAAGGAGGGAGATATTCTATTTGTTATTTTTGAATTGACTATTTCTCATCCCACGTATGCACAGTTCACATTTTTGCATTGGAGATGCTCTTAGTTTGTGATATGTAAGATAAAATGAAACTAGAATTATTTGACGAGGTACGTAGTGCATGTTAGGATGTTTTTACTTGGACTATTTTTCATCCCAGACCACACCAGTTCAGACAAGACTTTTGGATAGTTACAAAATACACAGATACCATACCTTTACTAGACCAGACCAATTCAGATTATACCAAATCGACCAAACCAGACCAACAAAATTCGGTCAAAGTAAAAACATCCTTAATACTACAATTTTTTTATACGTTAGAAAAGAACACATTATCCCTCACTCTTATATATCAGTGAGTTTTATGAGAATAATCTATAGCATAGGCGCATTTAGACTTGGATTCGGGCCGGGTCGGGCCCGGTCGGACCGCCGGTTCAAGAACAGTGGGCCCGGGACCGGCCCGAGGGTTGGACGGGTCCGGTTCGGGCCGGGCCACCCGCCCGGGTCACGGGTCGGGTCCGGTTCGGGCCGGGTCGGTTAATTTTTTTTTTTTTAATTTATATTTTATATTTTATAGTTTATAGTTTTATAAGAGTATTAAAAACAAACTTCAATTTCATTTATTTGAAATGAAATAGGAACTACATTTGAAAATTAAAACAAACTTTAAGAGAAACATTTTGAAAATTGTAATCAATCGGAACTTCCCGCACCTCCCGATCCTTTGGCTTTGTGACCTTTGTCACATGACTTCATATGCTTGATTGCATTCCCGAATCCGCCTGAAGCCCATAATACATTTTTTTTCGCACCATTTGCAAATTGCGTACCACATCCCGGTCTTCGGGTCCTTCTGCTTATCAAAATTATACCGTATAATGGCATTTTGATTTTCCATCTTAACTTCTTGGAGAAGAGAATTAGAGAGTAGATATATAATATATTGGAGAATAAGAGAATTAGAGAGTAGAGAGTTAAGAATGAATTTAGGAAGAATTGGAGAAGAGATATGAAAAAATGTTTAAGAGTAGGAGTATTTATAGGTTTTTTTACCCCCCACCCCCCCACCCCCCCCGGACCCCCCCTTTACCCCACCCAACGGCTATATAGCCGTTTGGGTTGTCCCCAGCCCCACCCCCAAGGCCTCAACGGCTAGTAGCCAAAAATCAAAAAAAAAATTTTTTTTTTTAAAAATAGACCCGGACCCGGACCCGGGCCCGACCCGGCCGGGACGGGTCAAAAAAATGCTGAACCGAGCCCGCCCCGGACCGCCCGACCGGGCCGGTCCCAGGCCCGCACAGTACCGGGCCGGGCCGGGTCACGGGCCGGGTGGCCCGAACCGAATCCAACCCTAGGCGCATTGCTAAAGCCTAAAACAGTTGAGAATATCACGTACTAGCTTGTCACAATTTTGGTTGCAACTTGGTCCAAAAGGTGGAATTTCCCACCTCAAAAGCCCCCCATACCCCGACTCGACAGGATTTTTGGGAGGATGTTAATCACGGTGACTCAGTCGGCCCAATGATGGTAGACCTTTTTTCCGTGCGCACCAGAGGCTCAACTTTATTTCAGATTCTGTGACCTCCACACGGCCGCTGCGGGTTTCGAACCTTGGTCACTTGGTCCAAATTTTCCACCACTGAACCAACTGAGATATCGGTGCGGGTTTTTTTGGTTGCAACCATAGCACTAGTGATCCGAGCAATCCTCCCTCTACTTTTTTGTGCATCAACTACCATTAAATCCCACATTTGTTGATTTTAAAGTGAAAATTAAATGAATATAATCATTATATTTGAATATTTGATGATATAAAATGACATTTTTACTTCATAATGTCCTGTTTTCCGTTTTATACTAGTTTTACAGTAACAATTATGTAATTGTTGAAATTTATGTGAAAAGAAAGATGATATATTCCGTGTTAAACCTAAAAAGCACTTTTCTTTGAGAGGGTGCACGTAAGAATAACATTTACTCATTTAGTACATTCAGAAAGAAGGGTGAATAGAACATTTGGGATACAAAGTAAAGTTTGTGGAATGATGTTATAGTAAATATACTTATAATTTATTTAATTTGCTGATTTAAAAAGTATAGTTAATGTATGATCAACTCTGATTGAAAAATTAAATGTGCATAAATTATGTCAACCATACATTTTTTAAAGAAAAAGAAACAAAATCGGAACGGAGTCAAAAAGTAATAGCTTTGTAGAAAGGTTTGGTCGTAAGTGGGGGAGTGCATGCACCGCAAAGGCGCAAACCAAAGCATTTTAGTTCTATTATTATTACTACTCGATCGCCATCTCCATATGGTGATCTTTGCTTCTTTTTAAAATGTCCTAAAATAATTGTTTTTGTCCATTTTGACAAAAATAAATGATTCATATAATGTCACTTTTTCTACTCTAAAAAAATGACACCCCATCAATGAGGACCCCCACCTCGACCGGACGGTACGTTGGGAGGATGTAAGTGAGACTATAATTTCAATTTAACAGATAGAGAGTGAAGCTATGTCTCCAGTAGTTGCACTTTTTCTACTCCAATATCAACTATAACTTAACTATTCTCAAATCACAATCATTAAAAAAAAGAAATTATTTTGTTAACATTTGTGTCAAATCAAGTACGGATTAATACACTCCCTAGTTAATTTGAGAGGGAGGATATTATTATTTAGAGCCCATTCTGTGGTAATACTAATATTTATTTGCAACTTATCCGTCTTATCGGTCACTTTTTCATCATATGCATAACTTTTGATTTCATGCACCGAATATCGTAATAATTAAAATAAATAAAAATGCAGTTACTATTTTGACTGAAGTAACTATGTAGCTATTTTATGTTGTACTGAGTATAATTTTTTCTTTAGTCTATTAATAAAATCTATTTTAACTTTATTTTTCTTGTAAATTAGCAGATTCGGTTAATTCAAGTAGCATTTCATCAACTTTAGCAGATTTAGTCGCAATTCAATCATGCTGTCAAATAGGGCCGTTAACGAGCCGAGTCGAGCTCGAACACTCAAAGCTCGAGTTCGGCTCGATAAGGAATTAGTAGTGTTCGGGTTCGAGCTCGAAGCTCGGCGAGCTTTACAAATGAGGCTCCTGTCAAATGGACTTTAATATTATTAATTAATACGGAGTATAACTTTTACTAAGTGTACGTTCATTGTACATACAATGATACAATCCCCTCTATAGGATCTTCTATGTTTTCTATATATATGTACTACCCTATCGCCAAAGCATTCGATCAGCCGATCAATTAAACCGGCCCGGCCACCCCCAAGAAAAACAAATGTTGGTGTAATCATCCATTTATTCCTCCAACAATAATATAGTACCAAGTACACTTCTTGTTCTTGAAATGGCATGCGTGGGCGCGCGTGGGCGCGCGTGAGCTTATTTAATCTGTTTTTGTTAGTTAAATTACTTCAATTCATTGATATTTAATTTAATGGAAGTTCTATTAATGAACCGGAGCTCATCAACATCTTCTACAACCTCAGATTCATCCTCGTCGGAGTCATCATTTTCCGCCGGCGCCGGGAAGGCGGGCCGGAGGAGGCTCGAGAGGATCAAAGGGCCGTGGAGTGCGGAGGAGGACAAGATCCTGACCCGGCTGGTGGACCGGTACGGTCCGCGGAACTGGTCCTTGATTAGCAAGTACATAAAGGGCCGGTCCGGCAAGTCTTGCCGCCTGCGTTGGTGCAACCAGCTCAGCCCCACCGTCGAGCACCGTCCGTTTTCTCCGGCTGAAGATGAGACCATCCTGGCCGCCCATAAAAAGTACGGGAACCGGTGGGCCACCATTGCCCGCCTGCTCCCCGGCCGGACGGACAATGCCGTCAAGAACCACTGGAACTCCACGTTAAAAAGGAGATACCAACACCAGCAGCAGCAGTATTTGAATGAAGTTTCTGACGGCGTTACCTCGGCGGCGTTCTTGAATGTTAACGCCGGTGAGGGTAAAATAGTAAATAAAATCACTGGTAGCTGTTGCAATAAGGTGTTTCCGCCAATGGGCCACTTCGATGGTGATGTGTACGATGATCCGATGACAGCCTTATCCTTGGCGCCGCCGGGGATGGGCGGACCCGAAGTACCGGAGAGGCGGTCGGAGAGTTTACCGACGGGGTTTTGGGATGTGATGAGGGAGGTGATCGCTAAGGAAGTGAGAGATTATGTGACGTCATCCTTTTGTGGGACTCCCACTCGCTTTCATTAGGATTAATTAGCACTGGATGCCGGTGTTTATTGTTGTTTTCTACTACCAGTTATTAATTAGCTGGTCTTATGGGTTTAAAAACTTTACAAATCGCTCTAAATAGGAGCAAAAATGTTTTGAAATTCTAAAATAGGAATATTATGATTTTATTCTCTGAATATGAGTAATCTGCCATGTTTGGAAAAAAATGTCATGTTTTAAAACCTAGTAATATCAAACTTGGCAGAAATTTACTCTTATTCAAGGAATAACAAACATGATACTCCTATTTTGAAATTTCAAAACTTTTTTACTCCTATTTAAAGAATTCTCCCTTAAACTTTTATATTAATTAATTAATGTATAAGGACTATAAATTAATCAGCCGGTCAATTTTTTCAGTTGAAGTATCAATCAGCAAACGTGTTGAATTACTGAGTACATTTTATCTCCATAATTATTTCTTTAAACTACTTCTATTATTACTGCCTTTTCTTTTTGAAGTGAATATATATGCCCTCAATGGCTCCATGTCTAGTTCTTTTTTGGGATATTCCCTTAGCACTAACATATACGGAGTAGTGTTTAGCCTTAAATAGTACGTAGACTAGTGCAAATTAAACATCATATGTTTATTCGTGTTAACACCGGAATTGAACGAATCTATTGACTATATTTTCAATTTATAAAGTTTATGAGGTGGATGAATTGACTGATTTTGTTGAATAATGATATATTAATAATATTTAAAATATATTTTATTAATAAAATAAGGGAAACAAAAATTTAAATACCCCAAACTTTGAAAGGTGTGTGATATAAGCACATCAAACTTACATATATAATATACATACCTGGAATTTTACATTAAAAGTTATGTTAGCATCATTAATATGTTTTTTTTTATTTGAAAATATAAACTTATGGTGTTAAGCACATCATTTAAAATACCTAAACATTTATAGAGGTGTAGTTAAAGCGTCATAATTTTACATTGTGAAACAAAAAAAAACATATTTTCATGGTGCTAGTACTACTTTTTATATAAAGTTCGAGGTTAAATATTACATATGAGAGTTTGGGTGTTTACGTCACATTTCTTCAAAGTTTGAGGTATTTAAATTATTTTCCCCTAAAATAAATATAAATTATATGAAAAATAGCTAAAATAATAGCAACTTCAGCAAATTCAAGTCACAAAAACATCTTCGATCTTACTTATTTTGATTATTACACCAGAGAAATCAAAACTACGTGATTGGTGAAAGTTGATCGATAAGAATGATGTGTTGAAAAATATGGTCGCCGAATGAGCCCTTATTGTTGTGAGTGTGTAATGGATAGAAGTTTAGAAACCATAAATAACATTCGAATTGATTGAATTTGTTGAATTATGAAAAAATAATATTTGAAACATACTTACATATATTTTTACTACTACAAATAATACTTAGAAATAGTTTTTATTAATAACACAAATATATATAATATTTAAAATATTCTTTATTAATAAAGAAAAGAAAAAATTATACAAAAATAACTAAAATAGTCAGCTTCAGTAATTTTATCCAGAAAAATAACTTTAACATTACTTATTAAAGCTATTGTTACACAATTGAACACATTTTATAATGTTACATATTTGACAAAACAAATTGACTTATAGATTGATAAGCCACAATAAGGGCTACCAAATAAGAAGTTGGATTATTGAAAATATTCCCAATACAAGTAACAAATAAATGTATAGCCGTATAGGGGATATTTGGATGTACTTAAAACTAATTCTGTTACTTTAAAGAGTGGAAGTAGATATTTGAGTGTTTGGTTAAAAACGCAGAAGTAATTTTAAGTGTTCCAAATTACTCTCAGGGTGTGTTTGGGAGTTGGGTTTTGAAGGGGAGGGGGAGGTTGATGGGGGTTTATAACCCTCCTTTTCATGTTTGGGAGTTTATAAAACTTGAGGGGATGGTTTTGGAGGGCTTTCATGACCCTCCAAAACCCTCTAAATGCCTAATTTTTAAGTTCTCCTAATTTGGAGGGTTTTGAAGGATAATTAATGAAATGGTAATTTAAGCTCAATTAAAAATAAATATCAGTTCAATTATTTAAATTCATCATATCTCAAAGTAATTTTAATTATAATTCATTCAAAAACTCTCTTCTTCCGAATTTATTACTCCCAAATACAAAGAAAGGCTTCTTCATCCTCCCCTCTCTTTCCCTTCCAACAACATACCTCCAAAGTCTTCCTCTCCCCTTCCCTCCGAACTCCCAAACATACTCTCAGAAACATTTTTTTAAAGATGAAGGGTACTTCTACTTGAAAAAAGCAGGAAGAGGGTCAATTTTTACACTCCCATAGAGCAACATTTTGTTTGATTCATTTAAACATAAACTGAAAAATATAAAAATAAACGGTCATTTATTCAAGTCGTTGAAGACCATTAAAGATTTTATTGTTGATAACTACCAAGACTCCCATTCAGTAACAATAGTCATTAAACTTTCACTTTTCTAGACTTTTAGTATTATCCAAAATGATTATAGCAGACTTCAAAGTTATTATTAACTCATCACTAGGTTTGATCGTCCATTCAATTTTATGCATTAATTCTATTCAATTTGACTTTTAGAAATGCAAAATCGATATCTAAGATTCTAAATCCATAATACGTAGTATAATGAGTTTGCTTTGCTCGATTTGAATTCATTTATTTTGGGTTTGTTTTATTTAGGATATTTTTACTTCGATTGAAATTTGTTGATCTAGTCTAGTCTGTTTAAATCTAGTCTGGTATGGTATGGTCTAGAAAATGTCTGCTCTCTGTATATTTTATAGCTATGCAACTCAGGTCTAGTCTGGTCTGCTTAAATCAGATTTGATCTAATTTGATCTGTTTAAGTCTATTCTGATTTGATCCTGAAAACGGTCCAAATAAAAACATCATTACCTTTTATGCAGCTAATTTAATCAATTATTATTGCTGCTTAAAGTCTAGTATTAACTTTTAAATCGCAAATGACACCCCCGATTATTAACAACTTTTGCCGATTTCAAGTCCATAATTCTGGTGTAGTGGAATGCAAATGCCTTTTTTAAAGAAAAAGCTAGAGATGCCGAAAACCCTACGTGATTACTCTAGGGGTGGACTCGGGCCGGGCCAACCAGCCCGGAACCAGACCGGCCCGCTACTGTGCGGGCCCGGACCATCCCGGTGAACCGGTTGGTTGGCCGGTTCGGGCCACCCGGCCCGGTGGGATCTCGGTTCGGGCTCGGGCCCTTCAAAAGGTGAACCGACCCGGCCGGTTCGGGCCCGGGCCGGGCCAATTTTTTTTTTAATTTTTTTTTAAGTTTTTGGGTTGGGCTGAGTATTTTGGGCCATTTGAGGTGGTTAGGGTTGGTTTGGGGGTGAGGGGGGAGGGTTGGGGGTTAACTAGGAAAAGCCCCCAAAAAAAATATAACCGAGGCCCGGCTCGGCCTGGCCTAGCCCGGACCCGGGGGTTACCCGGGCCGGTTCCGGGCCTCCCATACCTTGAACCGAGGCCCGGCCGGTTCAAGGCCCGAACCGGGCCCAGCCCAAACCGAGTCCATCCCTAGATGACTCTGGCGGCTATCAGAGATCGGTGGTTTTGAACGGCTGCTCAAGGTAGACCCAGATCAACGAAGGAGACGGTACCATCAACGAATCTTGGTGCTCAATTCTTCCGTTGTCAGGTTTTGTGATCTTTTCTTTTCTTGTGTTTCGATCGATTGGTTTCCTCTCCGGGCGCTTTAGTCTCGTGGCTCTGTTTCCGGCTCAATTTGACCGAGGTTGGTTATAGCTTGTCTGCTCTGAACGTACGGCTGGAGTCTCTTCTCCTCCGTGTTGATTGCAGTGATTGTAGTTGATTTTCTTTTCCAAGGTCCGGTGTTCTCCGTTTCCTTTGTGTTTGTGGTCTTTGGGTTGTGCTGTGATGGAACTGATTTCAAAGAATGATAGCATGATTTCAATTGCTGAAGAGGAGAACAGGGTTTGGTGCTAGCGACTAATCCAGCAGAGAATGCGGATGTGTCTACAGAGGGATTCAAACTAGCGACTGTAGCTAGAGTGGTTTTGGACAAATCCGTTCGTGATGTTTCCTTTTGTCAAACTATGGCTATGGTTTGGCGTCCGGTCAAGGGAGTTTCAATTGATGAAATTGGGGATTCTAAATTTCTTTTACAGTTCTATCACGAATGAGATCTGAACAGAGTTGATGAAGGGCCTTGGTCATTTGAGCAGAATCTTGTGGTTATCAAACGATTGGGACGTACCGACAAACCTCACGAGGTTCCATTGGATCATACAGACTTTTGGGTTCAGGTCCACAACCCACTGTTAAGTTATATGACGGTACGAGCAGCTCGTGGAATAGCTAACAATATTGGAGCGCTTCTGCAATGGAGCCAAAGATTCATTATTTTTTGGCTTGAGATTATGATGGAATAAAGCAAAATGGCTCACTAAACTGTCTGCGCTTCTTTGTTATGAAGCAGCAGCCAGTCCATGCAATTTTGGACGGGATTTTCACTATGGGTCATCCGGAAACAGTCTCTTTGTGCTTTAGTACAGGGGTAAGACTGCGTACATCCGACCCCCCCTTACCCCACCGTAGGTGGGAGCCTTTGCGGCACTGGGGTAAATGAAAATGAATGGAGCGCTTCTGCAGGTGGACGAGGGCTCTCTTGGAGAAAGCAACGATTGATCTTGTTCATTAGAGTCACTATTAATATTACTATGGCTTTGACTAGATGCCTACAGGTCGGGCATGAGGGAGATAGTTGGATCTAGGCAAACTTTCAGTATGAGAGGCTCTCGAATTTTTGCTTTATGTGCGGGATTCTTGGTCATGCTGATCGGTTCTGTCCTTCTAATCCGCATAGTGGTGTATCAAGCGGGGAGAAGCCTTATAGTACATGGTTACGGGCTGATACGAGGCGGGGAGAATTGCATCCGAGTAACAGGTGGCTTATACCTAGCAACAACAAGCCAGGAGACAAAAGGGATGAGAAGGCAGATTCCGATAAAGTGACAAATGACCAGGCAAGCAATATGGTGGAAGGACTCCTGTCAAAAGGTAAGGAGATCGCTACAACCCAGGACGCATCAAGGAAGCATAGGGTCACTGAGAAGGATAGCAAAGTGGGGGCACAGGCAAGTATGAATGTGGATGAAGAAACTCCAAAAAACTTGTAAGGAGACATGATGTCCAGGCAGCATCGCCAGTAGAAGGAGATTGTGAGGATAAGGAAGAAGTACCTTTAGCAGAGGCTGGTCAAACCGCTTTTTCCTTGCCAATGACTGGAAAAATTGGATTATGTTCCTCTTTTGTTTCTTTATTTTTCTCAAAACTTTATTGCGTTTTTTAAATTCCCTTCTAGTAGCAGGTGCAACATTACTGTGTATGAAGTCAATCAAATTGGGGGTTAGCGAGATGGTCCGCTAGTAAGCGTGATTCCAGCTCTAA